AAAACAAACATTCGGTGGCTAGTTAAAAATTAAGCTTATTTGACATTCTTTCTCCGTTAATACGAATTAAATAACTGGATTTAAATTTGATCGAGAGTGGAAGCTTTTCTCTTCTTATAAATGCTAACAAAAATTAATTATTCAGAAATACATAGGCAAAAATCATATTTTTAAACACTGATCACAGTTAGAAGCAGAAATAATTTCCTCAAATGGGTGATCAGGTCCGTTTATGTATTAACCATGATTTTCTCTATAGAAAGGAGAAAATCCGAAAGTTTGGTTCTTTTCTGAGCACTTTTATTTCTCTCATTAACGAAGAAGAATCAAATCCACCCTTATCAAAGACACGGTTGAGTTGTTATCCAGGAACCGTGGGAGGGAGGAATCTGTCAAAGAAGATATTGCTGTAGCCGAAAAGATGATGATGCATAATTTATACACAATCAATCATTCGCTGAGAGGTTAGTCAAGGGAAAAGACACCCTTTTCTTGATCTTCTTTAAAAAGTGTTTGCTTAGGTTATATCTATATTTCATTAGCATTCATACTTTAATTTTTGTGTTTGAATGTGCTTTTTTATATCAATAGTAATCAATTTCCAACATAGTTGTTTCTCGTGCGGCTTTCAAATGCTAACATGCGTGTATGCTTATCAAAGTTCATCTAGCCCACTAAGCGTCATTCATCACCAAATAATCCAGAACACTTAATATTTGATAATACATTCCGACGATGAAACGCATTTTTTGAATGCACTATTGAAGCACTGGTAATCAATCCTAAGGGAATTTTTCATAGCGTGAAACTGCCCACCAGCGGCCGACCGATAAAGTCGTTGAACACTGGTAGTTCGGTCCGAGGTTCGAATACCGCCAACGGGCTGCCTGCATGGGCGTTTTCGTGGTTTTTCCCCATGTATAACGTGTATACGAGCCAGTTTCCCTTAAAAAGTCCTCCACGAAGGCATCCCTCCCCTCAGGCAGATAGCCCTAGTGTGCTTTGCCAATGTTAAATAAACCAAACCAAACCATAGCGCGGAACGCACTTTCAAGTACATGTACTCTTTTCCTTACGCCAGTTAAGTTCGTTGTTAATCACTAATAATTTTTGTGCTCTTATGTTTTAATTGATTTAAATAACATAAAAACATAAACAAACCAAAAACCATTTTTCAAACGTAATTGCAATAACTTAGATGAATGTAAATATCATGAAGATAAGCTTTGAATGTTTGCAAATTTGCTGCCTAAGAACATTGATGAAAAAAACAAAAAAGCAGCGCACACAGACTCAATATTTTCATTAAAATCATAAAGTTATTGTAAAGTATAAAATTGCAATGATTAAATAAACACATTACGTCCATTTTAATATTTTACATCAGCAAAAAATAATGTCTCAGTTTCATTCCTGAAAAGCAGAAAAAAATTCTGCTTTTTTATGTACATAAATAAAAAATATATACTTTTAGTACAGGAAAAATTTTAAACCATTTTCTACAGATTTGAAGGTAAGTAAAATTCATTTTAGTGTTTTACTTTAGTTACGACCGAAATGGATTTTATAAAAATAATAAAATAATTCCATTCTTAAATTTTGACTAAAAAAGTGTATCACATTTTCTCTTACAAACACAATAATATTTTATCTTTTAACAGTATAATCTTTGTTGAAATAAAATAAGTGAGAAAATAAATCTCCCTCGTTTGCATTACAAAAAAAAAAAAAAAAAAAAAAAAAAAAAAAAAAAATATTCGGCTTACATAAGGAAAAGGGCAATTCCAATTATCCGGATGGATTATCCCTCTTCGAATATCTGGATGGACTGTTTTCCCTGGAGTACTAGTGCACGTAAAACCTAAGCCTGAATATACTCCTATATTCAATAGCCGCAAAACAAAGTCTTCAATCATTCTCAAAAAATGAGAGTAAATGTATTTTACCATTCTCCAAGATATAAGAATTAATTATAGTTCAGGTATTAAATACCTAACAGTTAACCAAAACATGATATTTGCTAGTAACGTAATATTTCTACTACGTAATTAAGATAATTCTACTGGTTACGGCGATAAATGAAACTCTTTTCTTCCATCTATAGAATTAAAGAGTTGGAAGCAATAAAGAACTCTCATTACTGCAATAAGATGTATTATCACCTTTTTCGTATTTGTGAACTGGATTTTTTTTTTTTTTTTTTTTTTTTTTTTTTTATTAAGAAGGAAGAGAATTAGGCTGAAATAAATTCATAAAAGCATTACTTCAAAACAAATTCTCAGTAAATAAAAACCTGGATTTTGGCTGGAATTTAAACACAGAACCTGTCAACCGTTTCTTGACGAAGCTGTATTTAACCAGCAACCATTTTGGCTAAAGCTCGGAATTTTAATTTTGATGACATCTGAATGATGATAGCGCCTTAATTCCACAGTCTGACAGAAGTGCTCTTCACACTCTTCTTTCGAGACATTGACAAAGCAGAACCTTCCTATTACTGTGAAAGAGTTCTTTCATTGATAGGATCCTTTCGTACCATTGCTCCGACTGCAAATTGAACTTCGGACCACCCTGCTCCACGGGTATGCTACTCTCACCCATTAAAATCACCAAAGCACATTAGTCAATAATAAGTTTAAATTCGAGATACAGGGCTTCAAGATATGAAATTACATTAAAGATAAGTTAAGACCTTCTTTGCCATACAAATGAAATACATACATAATGAAATTTTATATAATCGCGTAAGACTGCAAATATCCTTCTCTACTGGCATTACAACTAAGAATTCCATGGTGATAGATATTCAATAAAAAATAATTACAATTAGGGAAATAAATAAAAATAATTATTTGATTTTATATAGTGCTTTAAAACTATAAATAGCATTCATTCTCCCGAGCAAAGCTAATATGATATTTTCATTCCGATACATAACCAAAGTTCAAAATCAATTCAAGTATCAATAAAACAGTATTTATATTCTACTATTATACTACTTATAGAAAAAGTAAGTTTAAAGAAGAAAATAATAACAGAACTAAAGAAAACATTTTGCCGAATGTTACTTAAAAGGGGTTTGATTCCTTTCAAACTTACTTTGTAAAGCATTTATTTTTCTAATATGTTAGATGAAGCGAAATTTCTTCGTGCGCTTCAGCTCATAAAAAGAATGAGACTCATTTTCTTCCTGTCGAATTTCTCAAACGTTTTTCTTATCATTCCTTTTTGCTCAATATCCAGATAAGTTAACCTGCTTGGTCGATATGAAGAGGGATAAATACAAACATTTTAAAACTACGTATGTCTTTAAATCCTGACACTTTCTTGCGCTTGTATGTAGAGTTTTCATTCCAAACTCTACATACCTCACACCTCTGGTTTCCATTCAAACTTACTTCATAGCTATTACATAATTTAACAAAAATCCAGTGACTCGCAAATGAAATCATTACTGAATCTAAGACGTGAAATCAGAACTGAAACCTCTAACATATCAACAAAGAAAAAAATATTATTTTTGCCAGAGTTAAATAATAAGTAAGTAGATAAAAGTGCCAGAGTTCTTATTTTTAAAAACAGAATTATTTGATACAGGAAAAAAATCTAAAATTAATCGAAAATAATTAAAACAATATATGTAAATCATTTATACAACAAATATCAGACACGATAGAATCTTCAACAACCCCTAGTTATAATACTTTCTGTTTTGGATAACTCGTCTTATTTTTATGACTTTTTTTGATCTATATATACTTAATAACTTCTAAACCAACAATGTAGACCAAAACAGAAATCGGAATCTGAATAGCATGCTACGTTGGCACGCTTTCGACTACGTAACTAACTGTCTAAAGTAAGTTAACTTCGGTTCTCAGAGGCGAAATGGGCCGATTACACGGATATTTTTGTAATTAATTCCATGTACAACGTAAATACGAATTCAGTTTCCTATAAACTGCCTTCCATGAAAGCAGGCTTCTTCCCCCACACCAGATCAATATCGAATACCTCCCGGCAGATGAATATCGAATCCCTTATCATAATTAATCAATCATCGATGATTACTTTTACCGTTGGTTACCTAACAGTTTTGACTTGTTTATCACAAACGTACCTTAAAAAAAAAAAAATCTGTGAACTTCAACCTCGAAAAGAGCAGTTTCTTTTTCGAGACTGCTGCTAAAAATTGTTAGCAGCTAAATCAATCGTTCATCATAAAAATGCCTCTGTGTTCTTTATGTTCCAAACAAATTAGGAATAAATGTTTCTTATTCTTCAGAGACAAATCTTATCAATCATGAAATAGCCGTAAGTTGTGACTAAACCAAAGACCTACATTTTTACTCGAATTTAAAGTATAAATAACACGATTACATTCAGAAGTGACTACGTACAACAACTATCCCAAGCAATATTAAAAACTTTTCCAAAATATAATTTATGGTATTTTTCATTTAATTAAAAACTAAATATTCGTTAGACGTTCATACATATTTCAACGTATAAGATAAAAGCACACACAAATTAAAACACCTTTCAGAAAAAATATTTGCTTACTTAAAAACTCAATTACATCATCTTCAATGTAATACTTTGCATAATATAATAAGACAAAACTTTTAAAGTACTGCGAAAAACAGAAATCTAAAATATATTTATATTTTTAATACTGAAAATATATTATATAAAAACATCGTTTTAAAAAAATATTTATTAACAAAAACCAATGGACATATGATGCTGCTTCTCACAAAACAAGCACCACAGAAGTAAATGCAGAATTCCAGAAATCATATTAATGTGTTTATATAAAAACAGTCTGAACGGAAAATTCGTAACAGCTAAAACAGTAATCAAGTTAATTCGAGAAATTGAACACATTATCAGAAAATTAAGTCTTCAAAGTTGCCTTTATTTTAATATGTGCCACCTGCGATAAATATAACAAGAATAAGAGTTTATACAGCATCATTTTCTCTCTTTCTTTTTCACAGGGGTCATGCTAAACGAGGTAGAACTCTTAGAGAAGACTCCATACTACAGGACGCTGCAAAAACATCACTTGCAGCAACATCATGGACCTCCACTGTCCACAGCGCCCCATTATCCGACGACGCCGAGGGGCGGACTGCGCATTGGACCCAGTTACGACGAGACCTCCATTGCCATCATCGCTCCAGACATGCGTGTGCCCCAGAACAACCACCCTTTATCCATCTCCACGCTGGAGCACTGGGAACAGTATTCGCCCCTGGGATGTCTGGATATTTTGCTGTCCATAGCAGGCTATGTGGGAGACCTGGGCTCGGACCTGGTCGTATGTTACGTCCTGTTCGCCGAGGGCCGCGTAGGCTGGTCGGCCCTAACGGCTACTTTCGTCCTTCTGTCCGCTGTCGTCGTCAACGTTCTCAGCATTTACTGGTACGTGCGGAATCAAAGAAATGCCGCATCCGTCTACACTTCAGTCAGCAAACTCACGTGGGTCGTCAGAGCCCTGTTTCACGTGTTCTTCATAGGGCTGCTATACAGGTAAAATAATCCATTCTAAATCTAATAGACGTATAAATTGACTTCTGAAAACGTAAATCAAAACTGAAAAATTCTTATGTGAATGAATTTCATTTTATTCCTTTTTTAGTTTAGTGCGCAATGCCTTGTTTTGATTTAGCATATAATGCCTTCAGAATCTGAAATATTTTAAGGCATATTACACATCCGAAAAATCATTTTTTTCGTAATCTTTAAAGTAAGCTACAGGATGTCATTTATTATTTCATTCATAATTAAAAGTTACCCTAATTATTATTTTAGAGTTTTAAAAATTATTCAAAAATTTAAAAGTTTTGCTGAAAACTCTGATTTTTGAATTCTTTTTTTCTGTAACTTATTCTTTTAATTTCATCACAATATTAACAAAAAAGTTTCAAAACCTTTACTTTGTATGAAATAGTAAAATTGGCCTAGTTTATCACGTTTTAATTAGATCTGTAAAAATTCTGAAGAAGAAGAAGAAAGTTTGCCTTTTTTTTTTTTTTTTTTTTTTTTTTTTCCAGAGGGGGAGAAGAATTGTAAAGAAAGAATCGGAAATCTACGCCAAACGTTTTTCTAATTTAAGCCTTATACGGCAATGATAATAAGAAGCTTAGACTGCATATAAAATAAGTTTCGAAAATTCGAAAATAATTTTTAAATATTTTCACAAAATCATTTCTACTCCTATACGAAAAATTGGATTGAAATTTAATGGGAAACTTAATAAAAACAGTACTGAAACTTATTATGCAACGGGAAAAGAAAAGAGGCAAAATGCATTAAAAATTAGTTCTTACGACATCCCTTAACTATAGACAACATCTAGCAATATTCTGCCTTCTGTCATCCAGTACATATTTTAATTACTTTTTAAATGGAATAAAAAGCCCTGTCAACTGCAGTAATACATCAGATTACGAAATTTTTTTCGTTCATATGGAGAACTACTGCAGTTGACAGAAATTTTACGCTGTTATAGCGCCAATCAAATCAGCTGATGCGATGGCAGCAAAAATAAAGGGAAAATGCAAATATTCAAATACATCTCCTTTTCTTCCAAGAATTAAACAAAACAGCAGGAATCAATCCATCAAAACCTTCGGAAATTTAAATTAGCATTTTGATATTTTCTTGTTTTTCTCAGGTTAATATAATGTAAGTATTGTTCATATAATTCAAACAGGCGTAGCACAAAACCTCCGTTGCTTTATGAATTATTGCAATAAATATTTTTATAAACCATATTCAAGTCATTAAAGCTTATTCTTCTCGTTCATTTAAAAAGAAATGATATGCATCTATCCACGGCGTATTTGTTAGCAAGGAACAACATGACTGCTGCACCTGATAAAGCAAATCTTAGAAAACTAACTGGAATAAAAACATAATAATGAAACCAATTAATGATAGTATATACCTTCAGTTTTTGCTCCTTTAAGTCGACATTTGATGAACTCTTCGTTTACGATAAGAAAGAAGTGAGTTAAATATCAAAATTGTGTTTCTAATTAGCATTAATAATTTAAATGAGAAAACTTGTCATCATCATCTTCACTTAAAGAATTTTTTCTGCCGAAGTTAATTAATTGTGATATAATTAACGCACACTGGAACAAAAATATCAAGAAAAACCCCTCCTTCAGAAAACGCGACTTCACTTAATTATGTAAATTGCAACGAAAAACCCATATACATAAAAACTATCTGCTCTCAAGAATGTTAATTTTTCGCATCACATTCCCTAAGAAAATAAATCTGGTTCAACCAAAAATAATGGTGAGATTTCTGGGCTGCTGCCAATGGCTCATACATTTAAACTTGTCAAACTTGCATTTACGTTAGCTAAATGAAGAATGCTGAAGATTTCAAAACGATTATCCCAAAGTAATCGGCAAAGTTATTTATTGTAAATCAGTATTTTCATTAGCTACGGTAAGAGAATTTTAATTACAGGCGGAATTTCTTTTGTTGGGTGGTGTGGTGTATTTAATTATGGCAAAGCACACTAGGGCTATCTGCCTAAGGGGAGGGATGCCTTCGTGGAGGACTTTCTAAGGGAAACTGGCTCGTATACACGTTACACATGGGGAAAACCACGAAAACACCCATGCAGCCAGCCCGTTCGCGGGATTCGAACCTCTCTTTTGTTGGAATACTGCAAAAACAAATATTTATAGTCAACTGATATCAGTTCCGGAAAGATTCAAAATCTTAGCTAGTTAATGATGAAAAAACTATTAAAGTAATAGTGAGAATTTACTCCGGGTAATCTAGTGTCGAGCGATAACACCGAGTAATCTAGTGTCGAGCAATAGTGGGACATAGTTTCAAAGTCAGCTGTAGATCAGAACTCAGCAGGAACATTCAAAATGTCGATAAGGCTTTAAATCAAATAAAAATACTCTAAAACATACTGTTTAACTTTTATGATTCCATAAATAAACATCAAACGGTATCAAACTCAAAACCCACACCCTACTTATAATTCATCGGATGACAATGGATCGATCTGATCGTTAAAGAACTGGAACAAACGTGATTGATATTTCAATGAAATCTCGACTTTTCTTCATTTTGTATAATGATAGCTGAAGCTGTTCTTTGAATTTATAATTCTGATTTCATATATAAAACTAAACAATGTCCTCGTATTCGCAGTTGAGCCATCAAGATATATTAACTTGGAATCCTTGAGAATTTATAGCATTTTTTGCCAATATGATTCACAGTTCAAACACACAGCTTGCATTAAGCAGTGCAAAGATCCAAAATTCGAATACCGGCGAGGGCATTGTCAATTTCTAATATTTCTCGGCTCCGAAAAACCTAATTTCTTTAAAATATTATGTCTAAGATCGTGGGGGGGGGTAAAAAACTAGTTAATCTTCCATATAATTTTTAATATCTTAATCGTCTACCACTTTTTCTCCAGCTAAAATTTACAAAATAAATCTTCATTCAGTGAATTAGATTTCCTTGAAATGTTTCGTTAAAATCTTAAGATCGATCTTAGTTAACAACTTTAATTTCCAGTTACCACCCTCCTCTCATAAATTAGGCATCTTTTATCTTCCTTTTCTCAACAAAAGATAAATAAATACATTCTGTACAACTTTATCGCATTAGATTCAGTATAATTGGCAGAATGATTTCGCTCCTTGAGGAGGGAACATCATAGGGAAAGAAAAACAAAGCGACAAATTCAATTAAAGAAAAAAAAAAAAAGAGTCTAACTAAAAACATCTAGTTTAAAACATAAGGGGGGAAACTCTGGGTTTTTCTACTTAAATCATTTGAAGTGCAACTTGCTGTATTCATTATTAAATATCGGAGTTTAAAAAAATGATTTCTATAAATTTGCTTACTTCATTATCTAATAGTACTAAATGTTACAGATATTTGGATTTCACATTACAGCAGAATAAACAATGTGTTAGAAAGATACAAACTAATTTCACGATTAAGAAACGCAATACAAATATACAAAAATTTGATCTTCAAGATGCAATAAAAATAATCTGGCTCTTGGTATAGACTTTGCTACGTTACGGATATGATATTTGATTCTGATCTATAAAATCTTGTAAACTAATTATAGACCGTCTCTGTTTGCATACCAAACTAGGCACACAATTCATCTGAATATTCGGATAATTGAGTTCTTTTATAAATCAAAGATATATTTACTTAAAGAAAGAGGATTGCCTCCCTCCTACGCTAAATTTGCAATTTACCACAGTGGGAGATCGTTTAAGATTCCTGTGAACTATCTTCTTGATCACGTTATGTTAGGTTAGGCTAACTGATTAAGGCAAAGCAACTCGAAGGCCTGTAAGGAGCAATGCCTTCGTGGAGGACTTTTTAAGGGAAACTGACTCTATCCATATTAACCACGAGGGAAACCACGAAAACCGACCCTGTAGCTAGCCCGTTCGCCGAGATTCGATCCCAGGTCGAACTATCAGTGTTCAGCGAATTTGCCACTCGGTCGCTGGTGAGCCCGTTCTTGATCAGGCTCAGCAAGAAAATAAATTTCTTCAACGTATTTAAAGCGATTGAAAACTAGCTCATTTCTTCCTTAGTTTTCATCTAGTTTCCTAGCATTTCAAACTAGATTAAAGAATCAAGCGAGAATAGTACTTTTTTTTTCTTCTACCAAAAAAATGTATGGAAATTTTAGTGCCTTCTTAGCATAACTGGAAGTACTTCCGGCTAGCATCGGGAGATCCGATGTTTTTATCTTGGAAAGGGCATTGCTAATTTTCTGCTTCGATAACCTAATGACTCTAGAAGTGGCGTCCAAACTAAAATGTGGTGGATGATAATTCGTTACCATGTGGATTTGGCAACAGAGTCTTCTTCTCCACAGTCACCCTTAAATTGTATAGCAATTATTATGAAGGTACATAGTAAGGTGTTGGTGTACTGAGAATACGGCAGAGCACACTAGGGCTATCTCCTAAGTGGATGGATGCCTTCGTGGAGGACTATCTAAGGAAAACTGGCTCGTATACACGTTACACATGGGGAAAACCACGAAAACGCAAATGCAACCAGCCCGTTCGAGGGATTCGAACCTCGGAGCGAACTACCAGTGTTCAGCGATTTTACCGCTCGGCCGCTGGTGAGCCTTGTACATAGTAAGGAAAGAGAATGTAAAGAACTTTCTCCTTCCTTACTGTATGCCTTCTTAATGCAACTGGAATCTAGCATAAAGAGGTATGGTGTTTGAATACCGGCGAAGGCATTCCTAATTTTTTCCTGTTTCTGGCTTCGATAAACCGAATGACTCTATGAAGGGACTTTGTGTGTTAATGCGTTAATCGTCATTTCCATAAAAAATTAGCAAAAATATGTTTTATCTTGTTTCTGGCTTCGATAAATCGAATGACTCTATAAAGGGATCTTGCGTTTTCGTTACTCCTCTTTATCATAAAAATTAGCAAAAAAAAAAGGAGGATGAATTTAACATTTATTAGATCAGGTAGAAAATGTAA